TTACCAAAGGAAAAGCTGTCCAAGTCTAGCGAAAGTACCACAGAATTAGAGCTACAAAACTTTAATTGCAATTGCCAGAAGATTAAAACGCAGATCAAAATATCAGCGTCTAACAATGTGGAAGATTTGGTTATAACATGCAATGGTATTAATGTGAGTTTGCAACTTCGGATAACCACAATTACTTTTTGTAATGCTAATTTATACTTTTAGACTGCTGAGAGCATTGCAGACCTAATTGACGGTTACTGCAGGCTGTTATCCAAAGACCTAGAGTTCACGATTTGGCAGCGAGAGACGGCCGCAACGAGCGATGATAGCGCTAAAGCATTGCCCAATGATTCAACGCTGGGGTCCAATAAGTCGACTTCGAGTCAGGGAAAACCGATGCTAACGGATGACTACGCCGAGATTGGCTTGTTGGAGGGCGAGGGCGATTACTCGACGCCAACTGTTCGGAATTATGAGTTGGACAGATCACATATAACCCCGAGTGCTAAGATTGGTGTCGGGCAGTTTGGGGACGTTTATGTTGGCACATATACTCTCCCGAAGTTGGCCAAGGGAAAGAACTCCATGGGAAATGGCAAAGATAGCAATAGTGACCAAAGAAACGCCGATGCAAGGCCAGATGTCATTCAAGTGGCGATCAAGACATGTAAAGCGAATGATGATCCCGAAAAAACTGAAAACTTTCTTGCCGAAGCTTGTAAGTTTTACGTTCTACGTTTTTATACATTCCCTACAATCTATTGGTATTTTCAGATATTATGCAGAAGTTTGATCATCCCCATATTATTCGCTTAATTGGCATTTGCAGCGTAATGCCCATTTGGATAGTTATGGAATTGGCTAAACTTGGTGAACTGCGGGCATATTTAAAGACAAACAGCGACAGGTGATACTGAAGCAAAAGTAATTCATTGGTTATTTGTAACTTCAACATGGTCTTCAATCTTTAGGTTAAGTCATGGTACCCTACTAAAGTATTGTTACCAGTTATCGACTGCTCTAAGCTATTTGGAATCCAAAAAATTTGTACACCGAGATATAGCTGCACGTAACGTACTTGTCAGCTCTCCAACATGTGTAAAGGTAATGCAAAAAATTATTTCTTTCAATGATTTAGTTGTATTAAGTTGTTTTTAAATTTCAGCTGGCTGACTTTGGATTATCGCGATGGGTTTCCGATCAATCCTATTATCACTCAACCCCCACTGGTAAGTTATCTTTACCTTCACTTTGTTGGTTTTATAAAAATTGTGATATTTTTAGTTGCCCTCCCTATTAAATGGATGTCCCCCGAGTCTATCAACTTCAGAAGATTCACAACAGCTAGTGATGTGTGGATGTTTGGTAAGATAATTTATCTAATTTCCAATTTCTGCTTATAATCATATTACTATATTAGGTGTCTGTATTTGGGAAATACTCATGCTTGGAGTAAAGCCGTTCCAAGGCGTGAAGAACAGCGATGTAATCTTAAAGTTGGAAAACGGGGAGCGCCTGCCGTTGCCTCCTAATTGCCCGCCCAGACTTTATTCACTAATGTCTCAGTGCTGGGCCTACGAACCCTTAAAAAGACCCAACTTCAAGCGAATCAAGGAAACTCTACAGTACGTTAACACCCAAAGCTAATTAATGCCAAATTAATTGCTTTTTTATTTCACAGTGAAATTCTTATTGAAGACAGCATAAGTTCGTCGGAGACTCTACAGCGGGAGAAACGAAGAGTGGCATCCATGTCATGGGTGGGCAGTGATGACATTGACATTCCGCCATCAAAGCCTTCAAGGGCAATGCACGATCCTGGTACTTAAATGGCACCAAACTCGCCTTGTTACTATATTTCTAATGCTCTAAATTGTTTTAGATTCAGGCTTGATGCCTGAACCAACGGCGCTACCTCAGACTTATATTATTGCACAAAATCCCGCGGTGCTGGCCAAGCTAATGATGGAGAACCAAAAACGAGGCATCAATCCAGCTGCATACACCACACCAGCTTCGGTATTTAATACTCTAGCCGTAGGATTAGATGACAGCAAATCGAATGTATCACTTAAGACTACTAAGCTACCGGCAGCAGATTTGTTAAAACTTGACCCCATCGCAGAATCCGAGAGGCTAAAATCACAATATTCCGCTAACAATAGAGCTAGTCAAATGGCTAACCCCTTAAACGCTTTAGCTACCCCCCTTGAACCATCCAATCCCCACCACGCAGGAATGTTTACTGGTAGTTTACCTTCAAAGAGTAGCTTCGTCGTTTGTCCACCCCAAAATGAGGATCAAATGCAGGGCGCAAACATGTCCAACCCGTCTGTGTCAAAGGTTGCCGGCTATAGCCTATATGGCAGCCTGGAGAGGCATCAACCGGCACCAGCAAAGGCTATGCACTCGAAAGGTGGCAGCTTGGAACGACACCAATCACTGATGTCAGCTCAAAATCTGGTTTTCTACAATACAAAGCCGCCAAACTGCACCAATACGGCGGAGCGTTCAAGGAGCATGGAGAGAAACACTTACTTCCATGCCTATCGCCAGCAGATGAAAACCTCCATTGAATGCGAAGCTCTTCCCGAGGAAATCTACGATTTCGGAGGTGCTGGACTCAGGACCTGTGTTTCCGCCAAGCAGCAGCCGAAATTTAGTCCCATGGTTAATATGCGGCCAATGGAAATGGGCCAACTACAAAGCACAGATTGCATGGGTATGCAAATACAGCCAAATATACCAATTGGCCCTGGAGTTATATCTCCACACAACTTTGACGAAAGCCTTAGAAATCAGAGGGAATTAGAAAGGCAGTGGATCGTATCGGGTCCTCAGAATATGGCAGTCGGACCTATTGTTTCCGAAGGAGCTGCTTGCATGGCTACCTTGCAGGCCGAAGCTATGGGAAATCAGGTTTGGCCCTAATATTGGACACGTTGGCAGCCAAGCGTTTGCATTTCGTTTTTGTTTCCCTTCGTTTATTTCCCCTTATTTTGGATTTTTATTTAATAGACTGTTGCAGTTAGCTTTTGATTTATTAAGGTTTTTGTTTAACTAATTTCAGTTCGTTTTTAAGTGATAGTAATGATTTATTAATTTTCAGGCCATGCACAATGTTTTGGGCGAAAAACTACGACAACAGCAAAAGGATAGCAACAGCGATAGCGAATGGTTGATTCAAGAAGAATTGCTGGTAAGTAACATTTAAAATATTAAGAAAGAACTAGCTGACTCAGCATTCTATTTTTCAGCGGCAGAGATCCTGCTCAATACCTCAAGGATCGATAAATGATCACCAGGCACAAATGTTTAGGCTTGACTTTATGTCAGCGGGGCCTTCTAGTTTGCCAGACTGCTCGAATTCCAGCTCTCGACCCATGACACCGAATGCAAATCTCGTTTCGCTCAAGTCGAATCACTCATCCGCGGATCATTTGTCTGGGCTAACATCAGGCGAAGAGCAGATGGCTCCAAATTCACGAAACTTTGGCAGTGCAGTCACAAGTAGACCACTAAACCGTGCAGATGATGAAGTCTATTGCGCCACCACTTTGGTGGTCAAGTCAATAATGGTGCTGTCACAAGGTGTGGAGAAAGCGAATACCGAGGGCTATTTGGAACTGGTTAAGAATGTGGGCGTCAAGTTGAGAAACCTGCTCACATCGGTTGACAAAATATCCGTGCTTTTTCCAGCACAGGCTCTTAAGTAAGCAGGTTTGCTTTTAAAAAATACTTCTTATTAATTTATCGGTAATCATTTTAGGGAAGTTCAAATGGCACATCAAGTACTTTCCAAAGACATGCATGAACTGGTATCAGCCATGCGATTGGCCCAGCAATATAGCGACACAACTCTGGACTGCGAATATCGCAGGTTAGTGCTAATAACTGTCAGTAAATCTATACTCAAGAATACTAATTCTGATTCGTATCACAGGAGTATGCTATCGGCTGCCCATGTACTGGCTATGGACGCCAAAAACCTGTTTGATGTCGTCGACTCGATTCGGCAACGCTATCACCACCTATTTCCGCCACCAGCCGCAAAAGAACCCAGCAGTTCATCAAGCATTGAGTCAACATCGGGCTCTATTGTCACAGAGCCCGTTAATGAGCTCGGTGGCTATCTTAAGTCGAGTACTTCTGGAGATCTGCTGCAAAACACAGGGATATATGACAATGATTTGCATCATAACTTTAGCTCGCAGTTGCAATTGCAAAATCCAACTTCGGGCATAGAGTTAGGCGGTGGGGGCAGTCTACAGAGAGGGATGAGCCTTGGCTTGGACACCACCAGGTCGACAAATGAACCACTAAGAATTGTTGAGGAGACCCTGGGCAGCCCGGGTGAACATATGTACTGTAATACGTCCGCCCTGCACGGCCATGCGTAATTCAGAAAGCGAAGATACATAGAAATTAACTTTATGACTAACTACTGTACATACTTAAAATATATATATCAAAATATGTATATCGACCGAACTATTCAGCGGAGAATTCGCTTATCTATATAGGGAATATACATAGCTTTGAACATACTTACTCACTAAAGTTTGACGAGACTCCAACTCGGCCGGCCGCATTCTCACATCGTCATTTAGTCAAAATAATTTAAGAAACAAAGACACGTTTTTGAATGAAGATGGCTAGTAATAATATTTATAGATAATCTATCCGATCTAATACAGCTAAAAATTAATTTCATAATAATTTTGGGTGTGTTTTAAGACATTTATATTGTGATTTATAGTTTACCATAATAGGCTTTACTCAAAGCAAATTATTTTGGTGCAAGGTTCAATCACAAAAAAAATAAAAGGAATTACTAAACAAATGGCGTCTTTTCTTGGCTGTTGTTATTGGTTGATCAATACTTTATCCATAGTCGTTTTTAATGTTATTATGTATTGATTCTTAACCCATAATTAAAACGATCAAGGCAAAAGATCGGATGTGGAATTTTTTAATAAGTTAACATTGGCCCAAGTTACAACCTCTTATTTCGAATGCATATGTAATAAATTGTTTTATTGTGTAACTAAATTATTAATCTGGGTAACAAGTCAATAAATTCGGTTAACATCATTTATCGACACACAATTACAAAACACATTTATAAAGATGGATGAAAGCTATTCGGAAGTATTGTATCTTTGTACTGCGTATAAAAAGGAAAATTTTGGAGATTACCATTAAGAGATTTCGTGTAAATATTTTTTCGAGGACTTTTGCTAACTTAAAAATAAAATTTTTTTTAAGAATATATTGTTTGCTCGATCCATTCTTCCAATGTAAAAGTGGCGGTTTCGTTCTTTTCAGTGTCTCGCTCTTTGAATATTTCTGTGGAAAAGATTATAATTAAAATTTGGAATACATTTTAATTTAAAATTTGGATTACCGATATATGTCTTGATTTTAACTGCGCACATGATAAAATCATCAAAGGCTATTTTTCCATCTCGTGAGCCGTATCGATGACCCAAAACATTGAGAACGCGATTGTTAAGATGATACCCGGCTGAGTTAAGAGCCTCCCGGAGCTGGAAACCAGACACTCTGCCCGTATTTTCAACATCGTAAACTTTGAAGATAGCCTTCCACTTGGCGATTTCCGAAAGCAAAGTTTCGAACTCTTCGAAACCCAACTTGCCAGACTTATCGGCATCCAACATGGAAACCATGGAGCGGCAAACGTCTTTGGAAAAGCCATGAGTCTCGTCCACAATTGCTGGAAAGATTTGTTTTCATTTAACATTGTTGTTCTAGTTTTGTTAGGCCGTTTTGTATCTCACCGTTTGCTGTTACTGGACCGCCACTGTTTGGATCATCCCCTATTAGCCTCTTATTCGACTGATCATTCATTCCCAACTGCTCCTCAAAGGGCGTTCCCTTCAAAAATGGTCCGCAAATCAAGGACAAAAGTCCACAGGCGCCGGCTCCATCGTCACCAGGACCTGCAGCCTGGGTCTCAAATGCCATGTTATTGGAGAAGCGGTTATAAACAACAGGTTTGGGTAAATCTAAAAATAAAGTAATCTTTGAAATGACAACTTTCAGATGTTCAATATCATGCCTACCATCTCTCATCGAATGATCCAAAATGCGTTTCAATTCCATCCAATCAACTTCCATGTCCTTGCCGGCAATGCTGTCGAACAAGCGTCGCAAGCTTTCCTTCTGAGGATCCATAGGCTTAGGTGTTGGAAATCCGGGTGTTATCTTGAAAGCGAAATACCTAATTAAGCGATCCTATTTAACAGAGTTTACTTACCGTATCCCCTTTGTTGGCATAACCCACATGATCATCATTCTCTCTATATGGAAGTGGAAAGCGAAATGATTGATATTGAAATGAATGAGAATTAAACAGGTATAGAAAATCAAATGGCTTTGTACAAAACTATGATCAAGCTCAAGGATTTATAATGGCCTAATGAGTATTTAAAGCAGACTGTGTGGGTTCATTTTAAAATAGTATAATACGTTGTTGTGGGAGTTTCCTTTATTTTTACTTTGATAAATAGATTATTACATGACAAAAATACAATTTAAGCAAGGGTTAAAAATAAACTACTAAAATTAACTGTTTTAAAAGATCTTGCTAAATTTATACCTTCCCTTTAATTCCTGGTGAGGTAAAATAAGATAAATGTAAAATCCTTTTATACTGAGCAGACAAAATTGTTTTAATACTTTCCATTGCAAATTGAGTTCTTTAATAAATAATCAGACAGACAGACAGATCGTTAAACCGTTCTTAAGATAAGTATTTCGAAAGTTTCAAGAATACTGAGCGCGTTAATCTCAACTATATTTCTATAAGAGTAGAATAAACATAAAGAAACCATCATGCATTTCAGTAATTTAACTGTTGGGAATGTGTAGAGGGTAAGAGAAACAAATCTAGTTTAACATTTGCTAGCACTAAAAATATAGATATTTCGTAGTCACATACCACATATTGCACTTTAGAAGCTTTAAGTTATTGAAACCCCGCATTATTTCTAATATACAAACTCATTATCATTTTCTACATGTACGCACTCCATGTTATTTTGAGTTTCTGAGAATACTCGAATGATGAACTCTCCCTCCTCGTTCGGATCGAAAGTTGAAGGCACAATCAGGTAGTGACCAGGAGGCAATTTGAAGCGAGCGCATACCTGAAGAAAAATTCAATTATGAAATGAATGAAAACCTTTCTAGGGACTTCCCAATACATACTTCGCGTGTGTTGATGAAGTGAGGCGATCGGCCCACAGATGACTTGTACCTGAAGAAGTTTAGGCCCTGCGGACGGTTCTCAAGCTCGCGATCATTAAGGCTATAGATAGCGAAACCAATGGTCAGACATTCCATTCCCATATTACGTTTGGATCTGCGATTCTTTTGCATCAAGGCCACAATGACTGTGCACTGTCCCTCTTCGTCTTCCTCGTCGGGATCGACCAGTGAAATAATGTACTGGGGATTGTGCCAGAAAGTGTCCAGGAAATTGCGACAGCCACCAGCTGTAACTCCGGGTGTCCATTCTCCCTCGTACATGGACATTTCCCACTTTCGCTTGCCACTCTGCTGTTGGTCTTCGGTCAGCGAGTCGGGGGACAAATTACAAATCTAAAAGATCAATTCTTTTAAGATCATATTTCTTATAAAAGTAATTTCCAATTTTCTACCTCTACGCGATCGAAGTGGCTGAGGAAATCTTGGAAGGACATCCAGAACTCTCCATCTCTGTCGAATGTCAAGCCTATTTCCGCCTTCTGTTCTTCGGGTATATAACGCCACTCGGGGGAGCTATCACTCCAAGGTCCATTCCATTCGGCCTCATTGCCCCAAGGGTTGCGCATTCTTATCATAGGGATCTTACCCTGACGATTTGGCGTTACTATGTCAATAAGGCAAACCTGTAGGAGTCACTTTGATTATTATAAAGATCTGATCGTAAATAGTATCAATCCGAACCTTGGTAATAGAGTAAGCATGACCACGAATCAAACCCTGAGGTGTTTCCGCCTCTGTGACATTGGGATCAGGCTCAATAGAGCAACCCATCATGGAATTGCGTTCGGCCGCCTTTTGCAGAATGGTGAAAAGATTGCCGGGAGCTTCCTTAAGATCGTACCACTCACTAACGCCACCCGTAAAGTCCTCCATGGCTTCACAAGTACTGCCTCCCTTTAAAGCCTCGTAGGATCCATGAAGTCTGAAAAATAAAGAATATTAGCAAGCTAGAAAATAAGGGGATGTTATAGTCTTACTTGGCATAGGCCTTCTCCAGCAGGGCGCTCCAGAACTCGTTCTTCTCCGTGGAGTGCATGTACATAAGCTCTCCATTATAAGTAGGCAAACGGTCATCAATAATTACATCCACCCATTTACCTTTTGAAATTTACAGAAAGGTTTAACTAAAGTATGGAAAGAGTTTTTAAAATGAATTACCATACTGCCAGAAGCGGAAATGAAAGATGCCAGCATAATTCTCCTCGAAACTCTGTTCCGGTGGTATCACGCGGAAGAAAAGATTGGATTCCTGGGTCAAATTCGCAGTGGCAGCCAAAAGCCAGCTGCAAAGGATTCTTGCTATTTTTAGATGTTCATTTATTTTGGAAAGATGTTGTCTTACCAATCACCAAGTTCTCCTTGTTGGACATCGAATCGGGAAAAGCCCTCCACAAAAAACTGGGGATTCTCGGCAATTTCCTTTGTAACAGAAACCATTATATATCATCAGAAATTAATATTATATATTAAACTCACATGAGGTCTCAGCCATTCGATGTGACGATCTGGGCGTCGAGAAAACTGAAGGGACTCGTTTGAAGCCGGGAATAATGGATCTTCAAAGAGCGATCCGCTACCCAGGCAACTATTTAAAATAGTCTCATAGTCCTGCACCTCGGAATATGGACCCAGGCTCGAGCTCTTCTCTCCCAGCTAAAAAGCACAATACATTAATGATATGAACCTTAAAAAATATATGCATTTAGAGAAGAGTAGTCATTAGCTGTATGTACACAGTATATTTCTGTAATGGAGTTTTGGAAACGAGGAGGATGCTCTGTACACTTTACATGCGAAAGAAAAACAACACAAGGACAACACAGTACGACACTTTGGCATCACATTATCCTCGGGGGGAATTATGTCAATGCCATTACGATGACTGGATTTGGTACTTACGTTCCCATAGTACAACGTACCACTACTTTGAGATTGCAATGGTTGCTAATGATTGAGTGGAATGTAGTTGTTAACATGCATATGGATTTCAATGGATTGTTTTTGTTTGTATAGTATAGACCTCTGTAAATAACTGATGATAACCTCGAGGGTCAACTTACAACTCTCATGTTCTTGATGCTGGGCAGAACCCTCTTGGTGTCGGCCTCCTTCTTGATGAAGATTTCGTTGATCACCGATCCAACCACCTCCTTGGCCGCCCCCATCGCTGCATCTCCGGCTGCATTCAGGAACTCCTGTCCTGCTTGCCTCAAGAATCCCCTCAAGTCATCCATCGTTCAGATATCTGAAATTATAGTTTGTCAAGGTGCCGCCAAAGATTAAAAACCCATTCGTATATATTTAGTGTTCAGATATCTGATATCTAGTTAACTAAGTCCATATTTATATCGCCCATATTTACTTATTTGCCTCGCGCTGGAATTAAAAGCACACCCAGAGACATAAATATGGTTTAACGAGACTTACAGAAGCGTTAATATTCCCAACGTGACAGGGACTCGACTTAAATGAAATTACTTTAATTCACGCAACGAGCATTAGGTTTAATCAAAGAAAAATTATACTTTGGAGACGAGAATTTCTCGGTTCGCACCCAAATATAATTCACACGTTTCCACATATAAAATGCTGAATTTATACATATGTATCCGTATATATATGCTATATTGTGTGACATCATTCAGAAGCATGAAATTCTCTAGTGACTCAAAGGGTGTGCGCCATTCGGGAGATTGAGCTCCATTTCTTATCCATATAAAGCGGTGAATTCGACATTGAGCCAGGAACTACTATATATGTACTGCATTGGGTATATGGGGTATACATATCTCTGGGGCAATAGTAAATTGGCTTTTAATTGGGGCAAAATATGCTAGTTGGTCCCCATCTATTATTGTATTTGCGGGCATTGGTAAGTCTACTGCGAAATCTAAACAGGTTTTGGTAATTAATGCATTCTTTAGGCCTGGCTCATTCTCATTCCCGTGACCAGCATATTGTGGTAAGGAAGATTCGTCGAAAGCACAAGCTAATTAAAATATACATTTCCCAATTTCTAACGGACCTTGATTGGCCCGAGAGAACGATTTCCGAATCGAATCACGCACTTTCACTCCCCAAAATCACAACACAATATTATAGTAACGGATCCGCGTACCTTTCAACCAGAGAGACTCTCTACAAATATTTATATCTGTATCTAAACACCTGACTGCCGGCACGGACTATCGGAAATTTTAGTACTTTCTTATCGAACAATCGAAAATGTCTTTGATATGTAAATTTTGTATTCTTTCTTTTTGTAACACATGTCACACTGTTTTACTAAGAATAAGTCATTACTAAACCATTTTTTTTAAGATTAAAAGTAGTAATAGGGAATTTATAAAATTTTGGCAAAATGTTATTATCCTGGTTCGAGTTTCTGCTAATGTTTTCATCTCTAGGAGGGAGTACTCACTATCTGCTGCTGCACTGTAACAAAAAATACTTGTTTCAAGAACTCTGCTTTCTAAAATTCGAATTTCAAAATCGTAACTTTAATATTCAGACTTAGGTGGATTTTTGAGTTGTGTGCCCTTTTTAAATTAGAACATGGCTGCAACCGCCTTTTACACCTAAGCAACATCATCACGGCTGTTATCAACAGTTCAGTGATACAGCAGCAGGCCGTCATTAAAAATTCAGTGAAGACAGCAAAAAGGCTGTCCGGAAAAATTCATTGATGACAGCAGCGGGCTGCAATCAACAATTCGTTGATGATAACAGCAGCTTGTCATCAACAATTCATTGATGACAAAAAGTATTCATGGCACACTTAGCGAGTACACTCTCCGCAATTAGCGCATTCTGCCACCAACCAACTAAAGATCCATATCGATATTACCTAAAATATTAAATAAATGCCCGCAAAATTAATGCTTCGATGGTTTTTTTACACCATTGCGCCGCGGTCACACTCGAAGCGAACTATCGATAGCTTGGATTAATAACAGAACGCCTTCTGAAATCGAAGTCGAAGCGAATATCGAAAACGAAACACATCACGCGGGCGAGATTTCGTGAAATTCAGCATTTACAAATTGTAAGCAGTGGTTTTTCGTCGAACCCCTTAACCAATTAGTGGGTGACTCAAATTAGTGATAGTTTTAAATGAAGGAAATGAGATAATATTCCCAAAAACGAAGCCGCAGAGCGTCCATCGATTTTTTCACGGCATTGCCGGTGATGGGAGGACGCCGTTGATACACACACGCACACAGACTTGGATGTGTGTATATGGCGCGGCGCTTGTGTGTGAACGTGTATTTGTATAAATAATATGACATAATCGACGTGTGCGGCTTAATTGACATAGTTTTTGTGCGAAGAATACCTAAAAGTGCGACGAGAGGGCCGAAATAGCCGTTTTTTGTGGTCAAGGTGTCGGAAAGGACTTGCACCGCTTTTTTCTCCCCTCTTTGCTCCAAATATTCGTTCCTCCCCACACACACTCTCTCTGTCTCTCTTTCGCACGCACACAAGCGCGTATATTTGGGCGTTGCAGGATGAAGTTCTCTCTCTCACTCTCTTTTTTCGTATTTTAAATATATTTGCGCAATTTCAGCGGTTTTTAAACTTTATGCTTTTCGATTGTTTACCAAATTTAGTTAACCCCGTTTTAGAAGCCAGTTTGTCCGAGAGTTAGTCGCTTTTCAGTGTTTTTCAACATCTCTAGTTGCCCGCCGCCATCCAGTTCGATTCTCTCTTTCCCTCTCTCTCTCTCTCTCTGAATGTTTCTCGCTGTGTGCCGTTCTCTTTTGCGCTTCATTCATCGTCCATTTGTCAACGTGCGCTGTTCGTCGGACGTGTCCGTACGATTTTGGATTAAGTTCTCGTAGGCAATTCAACAAAAAAAATAAAAATATTTATTTGCAGCAGTGCGCGGTGCAATTCTTCAAAGAATCAACAGTGCAAAGTGCCGTTAGTAGCGGCCATCTTTGAAAAATATTAACAGTTACTTGGTGTAGTGCAAGAAGCCCCGAAAACAAAAATTCAATTATTTTAAACAAATTTTATTCAAGGCAATAAAAAGTTAAATCTATTAAATTCTCTTCCCCTTTCCCTCCCCTTCTACCAATAGTCTCTCTCTCCCTCTGTGGCGTATGTGTGTTTGTACGATATAGCAGCCGAAAAACGAAAATCGAGGTGCGAGAGCGAGAGTACATATAAAAAACGCGTGCGTTCCTCCTCTAACATATAGTGAGTCGTATTTGTGACCTGTGCCTGTGTTTGTGGCCACTGGAGGATCAACGATTTTACGAAAAATACCGGTAAGTTTTCTATGTTCCACGGATTATGTGTAATTATCCCGTTAAGCATTAAATATCCCCTCGTGCCCTGCATTCGTTTTAACCGTTATAACGATGAGCCGCAATCCGCCCGGTGACGCCATCTTTTGTGCTTCTCTAATAAGTGTTGTTTTTGTTTTTTGGGTTTGGTCAAGCACACGCAACACGGTGTGTGTGAATGTGTCTATTTTGTTGTTATGCTTTAAGCACAGTGGCGCAGCTGAAGTACATTAAAGGGGGATTAATATCTTATTTATGCTAACAAGAATTTGAATAATTCAAATGCATTTGTATAAATATAACATTTTGTTTTAATTTTGGGTTCACTATGTCCGCGTATGCCCCTCTCCCTCTGCCCCTGCTTAAACTTTATGTTCTAGCCACTTTTCTTCTCTCTTTCTCTTTTCTTTTTTGGGTGGGTGTGCTTGTGTGTGCGTGTGCTTTTCCTTTCCTTATGATTCATGCTTCTTTCTCCCTCAGACTTTCTATGCGCCTGTCAGATTATAAAAAATAAAATACAGTTGCACGTCATACGGCTTTCCGATTTTCGCCGCAGGTTTGATTAAATCTTTATTTTATTCTCTTAGCCATTTGTGTTGCCATTGCAAATCTTGGGAGTGTGTCTAATGCACTTGGCTGACTGGGTTGGCTTGTCGCTAATAAATCGCCTGCTGGCGCGCATCTGTTGGCAAGTTTCGTGACCCACTTTTCCTCCTTGGTCTCTCGTCTTTCAGCAAAGTAAATAGCGAAAAGCAGCAACAAGTGATAAACAGATTTGTAAATATTGAAAACTTGTTTATGCCATTTGCCAGTGCAACCCAATGCCTGCAGACGAGATTTTATAGTTGCCCAAGTGAGTTCTGGCCAGCTGCTTCGATTTTCTATTTTTATCAATGCAAATTTTGTTGTAATGTATCATAGCAACAAAATTGTCAATCGGAAAAAGATATTTTTTAACAAACTTACCTAAAAATAAAGTAATTCTTAAACATTTTGTAAGTTTGCTCAATTTCATATCCCTGAATAATATAATTGAAAAGAAATATTTGTATCTCAAGTCTCTTATTATGGAATGTTATCCGTAAGTGACAATTATATGCATTTCTACCTTAAAGAACCTTTATCTTTTTGGGAACTCTGGTTACGCATAGAAGTTTGTATGTATTTTTAAAGGTGCGAAGTCATAGAAGTGGGATTGTATGTGTGTTTTGTGGCAATCTTATCGGAACCTTCGCTCTGGTTACGTTTTCTAGTTAGATTGCTGTTACGATACAAGTACAATGTACTTGGTACCTACATACATACCTATATCTATATTGTAAGGATTTTTCTCATTGCCACTAGCTAACTAACCGTTCTATTTCCCTTTGAAAACTTTCTCTAATTTGTATTATTTCCTGTAGTACACACTCATCATATCGAAATCAAGCATTCCGCTACTTGAACTACCTATTGTGCGCTACATGACGTCATTTCACACACATTGCTTAAACAAAAAAAAAAGAAGAAAAAAATGAAAATTTGCTCTTTTTGTTTGCTGGCTTTTGTTGCTAATTCGAATTTACTCATACACACACATGGACAGGGGCTTTATAATTCATTGCTTATGCTGCCTCCCCCTTTATCACCCCTTATCATTTCCACTTGTGCCCGTGTTTTTTCATTTGTTCCTCTTGCGCTGTTGTCCGTTTTCAATTCGCAAATTAGACATGACTCGTTCGGTCGAGGGTTTCAATTGAGGTTTGTCTTTTATTTTTTTACACACCGCAAGTTGCATTGCTAGAATTTCCTAAAATCGTTGACGCATTTAAATTGCATTGAAATTTTCAATACAATTACTTAAAAGACCAAACTGATGAGTTTTAGTGTAAAAATAACAAGAAAAAACAGGACAAAAACAGTTGTTTCCGCTATGAATTAAAAGTGACAAATAAATGTGTGAG